TTTGGCTGAAGCCCAACGCAAAGCAGGGATGTGCAACCTTCATCTTTTCTGCTCACAGAAGCAACGTGCCAGTAGTGGCACCTTCCGTGTCCCTTCCGGCGGCACGGCAACGTGCGGTCACAAAGAGCTCACACAACTCTTTGAAGAGAAAGCCGACCTCTCAGGCTACTGGAACCAGCTCCGTGCTTCAGCAAGAGTTACAGCTACCTGGCACCAAGTTTCTCCTGGTGTCAAACTCTTGGCCTTCAACTTTTATGGAATTGCCAATGCTGCATCAGAGCGAGCAAAATTCTGTCGCAACAATGAACTGCTGGACTTGATATTTACTGTGGCGGCTCAATTCGGCGACATACCGATCCTCCTGGGCGGTGACTTTCAAATGGAACCAGGGATGTACCCTGCCGTGCAGGTGGCTTTGGACCACTGTGGTTGGGCTGACCCGCTTCTACGCACCGACGAGCAGGGTGATGTGGTCCGGCCCTGTACCTTCTTTCAGCATTCCGCTGCTGTAGATGGTGAAGGTGAGTCGTCCATCGATGGTATCCTGATGAATCGTACTGCGTTGACCGCTCTTATTGACATCCAGGTGCTGGACCATCGTGACCGTCAACACCGCCCCGTCCATGCAACCTTTGCTTGGGACCGAGTCCTCCAAGTCGGCTCTATCATGCAGATGCCGGCCAAGATGAACCTTGAGCATGTCCAGCATCACAACCCAGACGATCCTGGGTGTCCGGTCAATGCGCTTGGTGAACAGTTGCGGCGTGGATATACGAGCGACTTCACAGCTGCAGACACTGCCGATGCCAAGTGGGATGTATTTAATCAGTTTGCCACTCAACTCCTTCTGCTCAACGGTGCCCGTTGGGGAGCTGGTCCTTGTGTGAGGGGCAAGCAACCGAAATTCCAACGTGTCCGGGCCTGTGCTCCTCAAGAAGCTTCTGGCAATCTTGCCTCTCCACGCCTACACCTGCTTAGAGCGTCTCTTCGGTCTCTTCGTGAACTGGAGTACCGCTTTACGCGCGCTGTTACTGGAACTGGTGATGATCGGACTTTCAGAAACACTCAGCATCGGTTGCTTCGTCGATTGAAAGTTGCCAAACTCCTTCCCTTCCATGTACGGCAAGTCTTTGCACATGACCTTCCGCACCTTGTTGAGATTACTCTCAAGGCCATTGCGGCTGAAACCAAGCAATTGAAGTTTACGGCAATTGCCAAGTGGCGTGATGCTATGAAGTCTGCCACTACATCGCCCTCCATTGGCAAGATTGTGTACCAATACCTTAAACGGAAAGGCAGAGTGGTCCCACCAAATCTCGTTGAGGATGATCTTGGCAATATCATTTATGACCCTCAGGCGGCCATGGACACCATTGCCAACAAATGGGATACAGTCTTCTCTGTGAACACCCACCATGACCACGAGATGCAACTGCTCAAACAAGTTTGGCCCTACATCCATGACAAGGGCAAGGCTATCCAGCTACCTCCAATCACGGAGGACCAAATTTGAAGGCAGGCAGCCAAGCGGCGGCCTGATGCAGCTGCTGGCCTTGATGGATGGCAAACCAGGGAGGTACAGGCCCTTCCCCCGGTGGCCTTTCGACCGGTTGCTGCGCTCTTCAATAGTATCGAAGCCGGCTCAGATGAGTTCCCCACCATCCTCACGCAAGTTCGGATGGTCATCCACAATAAGGATGGAAGTGATTCACCTCTGGCCAAGCGGCTCATTTCCCTCCAGTCAGTTTTCACACTGCTGTACACAGGACTTCGTTTTTTACAACTCCAGCAATGGCAGCAGGATGTGATGCCACCGCAGTTGAAAGGTGGGGTCAAAGGCAGACAGATGTCCGAGGTCCACATGACCATGCAGCTGGAAATTGATAAGGCACACAGTTTTCAAGGCTCCTTCGCTGGCCTCAAGCTTGATAAAGCAAAGTGCTTCGATCGGCTTATGCCACGTCTGTGCGCTGCAATTTTCCTTGCGCTGGGCCTTCCACAAGGCTTTGTTTGCGGATTCCTTGGCCTTTATTCTCGTATGACAAGATTTCTTTCTTTCAAACAATGGACCAGAAGCCAGCCGATTTCGACACCGAACGGGGTTGTGCAAGGCTGTTCGCTAAGTTTACTGTGTATCAATGTGCATATGGCCATTTGGGTCTGGATCATTGGCAACATTGATGGCGTTGATTTTCGAGCATTCATTGATGACACCTACATATGGACCCGGCTGCCCTCCATTGACAACTTGGTTGCTGCAGTCCGGGCCACGGAGCTTTGGGACTCAATTTGTGGACAGTTTCTCAATGCCAGCAAACGTGAGCTTTTTGCTACGACTGGTCCTCTTCGCAAAGCCCTTAAGCAAGCTTTTCCGAGTATGCGGTTAGTTGAAGTAGTGAACATCCTTGGGGCCCATGCGCAAACAACGCTGAAGCATGCTGGTAGTTTTCCACCCGGGAAGTTGCAATCAGCTTTGCGTGATTGTGAGGCCATAAGGGCCCTCCCTTGCAACAGTGCTGCCAGGGCACAGATTCTTACCACCAAAGTCCTTCCACAGATTGCATTTGCACCGCAGCTGAACTTCCTTCCAAAGAGGCACCTTGCCAGACTTCAGTGTGCCATTGCCGACGCACTATGGCAAGATAGACCCATGTGGCGCTCCAAGCATTTACTTTTGTGCCTTGTACATAAGGCCCACAAGCTTGATCCTTTCCTTTTTCGTGCGGTGACTACAATTATTGAGTCGGCCAGATTCTTGCGGGTCACCGCATGTGCAAGGCAAGATTGGAAAGACCTCTATGAGCAGGATCAACTCGCACCACAATCTTGGATGGGCCAATTTGGGCAGGCTTGCCAAATTTTGGACATTTCCTGGTGTAGTGCATTTGGCTTCTCTATTTTGGATGCCCCAGCTGTTGATTTCTTGGAGCTTTCACTGTCTGATCTCAAGTGCATCCTCAAGAGCTTAGCAGCCGACAAGTGCTACCGGACAGCCTGCTTGATGCCACGGAAGGATATTCGGACAGCTGACGGATTCCTCGATCTTTCGCTTACTTTGTCCGCCAAAAAGAAGCTTGCCAAGATTCCCAATGATGGATTTTCCTTCCTTTTTCATTGGGAGAGCGCTATCACTGGATGCACCCTCACAGCGGACAGGCTTGCAGCCTCGGGCCTCGTTGATGACCCTCGATGCCGGTTCTGTGGTGCTGCAAAAGAGTCTCTGCAACACTTTGTCGATGAGCGCAAGCAACTCCCGGCTGAGTTGGTGCAGCCCTCTGCGGCCCATTACTTTGGGCCTAACTTTGCCATGTTGGGGATTGTTGAACTTCCCATCGATGTGGTTAAGGACAAGCTTCAAGTTTCCATGCCTTCCACTTTGGCTGTTGTCCCTTGGGCTGATGGTGTTGATGAGATTCGACATGTGTGTACTGACGGCTCCGTTCAGCTCACCCATCATCCATGGCTTTCTTTGGCAGCCTATGCGGTTGTTGCAGAAAATGAGGAACTCTTGGCAGTGGGACGAGTCCGCCATTGGCGTTTGTCCAGCTACAGTGCTGAGCTCTGGGCTATCCTCACTGCCTTTGCCCTGGCTGAGACACCGCTGGTTATCCATACCGATTCGTTGACGATTGTAAACCAGTTCACTGACCTCTTACGGCTTGGGCATGTCCAGATTGATTGGACACACGCCAATTGGTGGACCTTTTTGCACATGCTGATTCACCAACGTGTTGGGTCTTGTGCCATGCCCCTTCAGCTTATCTGGTGTCCTGCGCACCTCCTAGAGCATCTCCCAGCAGAGATGATTACGGAAGCAGATGCTACAGCTGCGGGGTCTACTAAGCGAGACATCTTGCTGAACAGGCTTGCAGATGAACATGCAAAGCAGCATATTTGGCTACTTGCAGCACAGGCAAAGAGCACCCTTCGGACCAAGGAGGTCGACGTTTTTGCTCGGCAATTGTGGTTGTCACAACTCAACCGTCGCTGCAAAAAGGAAGAGGGGTGGTGTCCGTGCTGCTGCTTCAATCGTGCAGCCTCAAGCTGCGCCTATCGATCCACGGCAACAATGTCCTAGGTGGGCATGGGATGCACCTCAAGGCCTTTACACATGGCGAGTTCAGCTTGACGTTGAAATGCAGTTCCGAGCCACGTCCAAGCTGTCATGTTTGAACTTCAAGGTGTTTTTAGGCTTTTGCAACTCCCTGCACTGGCGACAAGGGGAGGGACTTGCCTGCTCCGTTTTTGAGCTAGCTGCACAGGCTTTTCTTCATGGGTGGAGATTTGAACTTGCCACTGGAGTCCTGTCCACCGTGCAGGCATACGCTGCAATCATTCGAGCAGCTTTCTCCTTCTGCAAGACCAAGCAGATAGTTGTGGCCCCGCTTCATCTTGACAAGGGCAACAAGTGCAATGAGAAAACATTCCCAAAAGGAGCCTTTCATGGTGCCGAAGCCCATCTTGACAACTCTACCCTTGAGCTTCTGGTTCGTGCGTTCGATCGTGGTGCTGCTGCCACTCCTCACTCTTGGTCGATCCCGTTCGACCTTTTGCTTTAGATGGTGTACATAGGCCAACTTGGACCTCTGTCGCAGAAGCACAGATGGTCGCCAACCTACTCCGAGTATGGTGTGCGAGCAAAAAAGAAAAAGAAGCTCCCCCTGCCTGAGGGCGGGGAGCCTGAGCCTTAATGATTAGATTCCTAGTTTCCTGGCAGCATGGTGTACCAGCATCAAGGAGTGCCATGATAGTTATTTGGATTCACGTGGTATAGTAAAGCAATTAGGGAGTGCTTTTGTTGCTCGGAGTTTTTGTGGCAATGCCCGTCTCTTCTAATCAGTCTTACTAAGAGCATCTCAGCAATAGTGTCAGCATTGAGAAGTTGTGAGCATGAACTTGTACGATGTGTTCAAGTTTGTTAGCTTCAGCTATCTGAATATGTCCGTAGTACATACTTCCTCCTCTTCCTTCACCTTCACCCATTAGTAGGTCTGAGCTGCCAAATCTTGTGCTCTGCAGGCCACACATGGTAGATGCCGACATCTCCCGCCTTCAACGAGCTCAACTTGGAAGAGCTACTGCAAAGTGATTGCGAAGTTAAGTTTCCCTAAAAATCTAGGAACCAAAATCTAGTGTGAGCACTATCCTGCGTCTAGGAGCGTACTAGCTAGTAGCTACCTCTTCTACGTTCGCTACCTCTCGCGGCCTACCCCAGCCCCTTCAAGCAGACTCTCTTCCTTGTGTGAGCTGCTGCTTCCGGTTTGTCTTTTCCGGTTTGCTCTTCGTTTCGTTTCAGCTTCCGTTTCATTTTCTGCACCAAATTCGTTTCACACAGCGCATCGTGCCACTGCATCTGTGCTATGCTGTGCTGCATAAAGCTCTGAATTAGCAATTGACAAGATTTATTCCGACTCCATTGAGGACTCACCTTGCGACTCATCTAGGTCTTCTAGGTCTTCTACATCAAGCGGTGATGGAGGGTTGAGGTGAGCAAGCACATCTGGAAGCTTCTCGATTGACATGTCCCCCGGGATGAAGCTTCTGTAGTTCAAGATTGAAACCACCATCATTCCAATTGCAATGCACATTGAGTACATCAAGTGGCCACAAACCTCTTGATCAAACACTGGACATTCCAAATTTGGGCCCAGGTGAGATACCGGCACCTTCGGATCTGGGAATCCTATGGGCATCGCGCTCAGGATTGGCGATGCCAACGGAAGCAGCATGTAAATTGCAATTATTTTGGACTGCGAACCAACTTTGAAGTGCTTTATGAGCTTGTGCTCATCTCCATCCACCTGTGATAGCTCGATGTCAAGGACAGAGCTGATAGATGCAGCCACTACGTTGAAACCAGCCATCCCAACAAAACATGCCCAAACAGTGAGGAAAATCCCAAATCCAGAGATCATGGACGATGAAATCACAGTCTTGGAGATGCACCAACCAGTGTCAAGCTTCATGACGTCCACGGGGACCATGCTAAAGGACAGCTGCCAACAATTCACGAGAATGTATACTGTCATGAATACTCTCACCATTGATGTGGCTCTGTGTATGTCAACTAGTGTGACACGATGCGGTGTTTTGCTCCACACCAAGCCCATCCCTGGGAGCGTGTCATTGACACCGCCACAAAAATAACCACACCACCAGCGTTTTTTGGGCATTCTGCCGAGCAATTCTTGTGGCAAGGGCGGCTCCCCAAGGAGCGCCAAAAAATATCTGGTCATGTTTCCAACGACGACACAAGAGAAAATGGCCATCAGCAGCTCAAGGACAAAGGTTGTCGATGGTCGAATCATGCATATCACTGCCATTGACGTCATAATCGCAGGGATCATCACGATCATGCGAACGAGTTCTAAATGTATTGGGATGATTGGTCGCTTTTCTATCTCGACGAGTTGCGAACTTCTTACACAATCCTGAATTGCCCACCTCAGGCTGATTGACAAAGTGACCATGAAGCACACACATGTCACTCCAAACATCGTGCATATCTCCCAGGGAATCTGTCCTGGGCTCACAAAAGCCGTATAGCCCCACACAGCATTAAGCGGCATTGGGCTCAAAAGATAGGACTCATATTGATTCCTGAAACTGCGGGTGTGAATTCGGGAAAACCTGGGATATTTACGACCGACCAAGCAGCTGAACAATCTTTTCAAAGTCTCTGCATGTCTCTAGTAGCAAGAAGCTACTAGGTGGAGGCCATCGCTATTAGGTTGGAGGCCATCGCTACTAGGAACAAGAAGCTAGTTTAAAAACCGTCTATGTCTCTTTCCTTACTTTTCTTTCCGCGTCTCTCGCTCTCAGGCTCAGTTCTCCACCTCACGGCGAACCAGCTCCAAGTTCTCCAGACCTCCATTTGGGTAGGCCTTCCTTGGCATTTAGTACGGAAGGAAAAAAAACAGGTCTGAAGGCAAAGCAAATCAAAGAACCCAAGAACCGAGCCTAAGAACATTCAAGAAGTCGTCACCTAGAACCTTAGCTCAAGGTACACTTTCCAAAAGAATCTGTGCATGGCACCCTTATGACTCTCCAGAAGGGTTCCCTGAACAAGCTTGATAAATAGATGCCGTCTTGGAGGTGTTGTGTCGGAGAATAGAGCTGCGGATGGGGTTCTTCATGTCTTTCTCTACATCGTTGTGCCTCTGGTTCGATTCATATTAATATATATATATCATATCATGTGTCACTCAGCTAGCATGTTGATCGATCTCACAACGTCTTCGTGCGTTGAACGTTTCACAAGTCGTTGATGTCACATTGTCATAGTCTTCACAAGATTGTCATCAGTTTCACAAAGTTGTCCTCGGTCACAACATGGTCATCATTGGTCATCGATTTCACAACATTGAGATTGCGTAACGTGTTCTTCGAATAGTGAATTGTCGTGTCATCAAATGGGGATGGGGTGCCGTGGAGTGCAGTGGGGTGCGGCGGGGTGGGGGGACTGTTTTGTTATGTACATGCTTCTTGTAGCTAGTAATTAGCTTCTAGTAACAAGGGCATCGCTACTTGTAACAAGAGCATTACTACTAGTGGCAAGAAGCTACTAGTAGCAAGTGCATCGCTACTATGCACATGTCACATTCATAATCATTCATATCTTCCGCTTGATACATTGTCATCACCGCAAAGTTGTCACCGAGCACTCGTGTGATTGGAGTGGAGGTCATGTGGTTGTGACTGTCATCTTGTTGGTTTTAAACTCTTTTTCATCTCATATCATGCACCATTCGGTCGGCAATGTGAACAGTTTTTTTGTCAAGTCTTCACTGGTGCCTGCTTGTGACAGGAGGTGTTTTTCGGTCGCTCTTTCTTTGTTGATCAGCATAAAACACTTTACCAAATCTTGACTAGAGTTACATCATGACTTTGATCATGACAGGCTGCAGAGGGGAGGTTCCCTGAACGTCGGCATCATTGAGGGGTCAATATACACTCCGACTCCTGAACCTTGAGGCTGACTGGGGAGAGGATCATAGCATATATAGGAATGTTATGTTCAATCAGCTGTCTTCCTATCATTGAACAAGCCTTTTTTAACAATCCTCGTAGTAATTATGAAATAAATTAAAGCATTCCAGTTCTGGTACACGTCATTGTGGTGGAGGTCAATTACCCATAGAGTTGAAGGTCCAAGTGGAGTGCATCTATGTCAAAAAATGAATCGGAGGCTTGTTTTACATGCCCGATGCCCATGCGAAATGACACATGGAGGCGTTATTTTTGGTAAATGCAGGGTTTTGTGACCCTGCCTGACACAAGCGTTTCTGTGAGTCAGCTTGAAAGTGTCGGGTGAACAAACTCTCTGTTATCTCCTGGTGAACAATGCGTGTGCCAAGGCATCTCGAGGCATGACGCAGATCTTGCAACTTTCTCTTGCGTTGTTTTCTGAACTCTTGATCAAGCATCAACCAACACACTATTGGAAGGGTGTCAGCCTGGCTCATACTGGAACATCACTATGTTCTCTTCGGAGCTGAGTACCACGGCGCCCTGTGGTACCACTGATACCCATCTGGAACGGCCACCCCAGCCTGCGTAGCTTCTTGGGCTTCACACAGTTGATTGACAAAATGGCTGCTTCACGCTTCGCATAACTCTTTTCATTTCTTCTTTAAAAAAAAGAAAAAACATCTGAGAAATCCAAAAAGAAGAACTGGCATGAACTGGCATCCTCTCGAAAATATCTATCAAACTTCTAGAAATATATCGAATTATAGTCATCTCATGTTAACCGCGGTATGCTTCTTGCGAACTATTATACACATAGAAAACAACGATATTTACACTCTCCAAGCTTTGGTATTGTCTGACTACCATTGGACCATTCCGGTCCTGCAAAACAGTGTCAACTTTCAAACATGTCAAATGGTGCAACAACAAGTAACAGTGGTGACGCAGTAACGTGTCAAAGTTGTCCTAGTTTTGAAAGGGCGACGGTGATGTTCAGCTCAGCACCTGGGCGGCAAGACGTGGTCCAACATGGTCCAACGAAGTACAGCAGAGAGAGGCGGCAGAGAGTCAACCTGTCAAAAGACCTGCTTCGAGTTGTTTCATTCACGTCAAAGACCTGTCAAGTCTTGATCAATTACAAAACACTGGTCATGTTGGCTTGCTTGGTCCCTGACCACCAACACTCCGAAGCCACCTGAACCAAGTTCTATAGACTCAGAATGGCGTCAATTGCTTGGAGTCATTTGGCCTAGAGTCCTAGAGACTCGAGCTTTTCGCCCAACGGGCAAGGATCTTGGGTTCAGTCAAAGCTTTCTAACCAAATTGTTTCGATGGTCATCTTGATATCTGTCATACTAGGTCTTGTCAAGGCTTGTGCACCCTCTGAACCCATTACACACCCTTTCAGGAGCGTTATTTTCCTGAAACGTTCTCAATGATCAAGAAAAAGAGTTACGTATGCTCAGAGTGAGACGGGCCCACGATTGAGTTCAACTTAAGTACACTATTCAATTCAGTACAGCGATTTCCCACAAGGCAACGACGTGACCGAAGAGATGAAGTGACTCCCTCATCGATACCAAAGGGAAAGTATGCATCCTCTTTTGATTAAGGCGGAAACTGCCAGAGCTGGTTTGGGCGATGTTCGTCTGGGGTTGTGTTCTGCAAAATGTGTTGCAACGTTTTGCAACCAAGCACCTGACTTTGCAGCAAACGGACTCTGTTCACCTCCTTCAGGGTCAGGCACATAGCGCCTCAGGAAAGACTTGAATTGCTCTCCAAACAATTAGATCTGCAAAAGCAAGAAGGACGACCAAGAGGCTCACAGCATAGCTTCTCCAAAACAAGTTATTTGCGGTTTCCAGCTGTCCTGGCTGTCCTGACATCGGATTAAATTTAGGAAAGATTGTTGGACTTCATAGCTCTGCACTCCCCAGTACTTAGTAACTACTTCTCTCGTGTCCTTTGACTCGGCTCTGCAGGAAAACTTTCGTTGCACGACCTCAGCACGTTTGCACCTCCCTTCAGTTTTGAGAAGCAGGATCGAGGACAGCCCAAGAAAAAAGGCGTGTTCGGAGCAGTTGTTAGCATGTTCAGTTACAGTAAGCAGTACGTTCGGCAGTTCACTGAATCAAATTTAGGGCCAAAATGGGCCAAGTCCACCCGTTTCTCCTTCACCAAGTGTCGGATGCCATACAAGCAGCTGGCAAAGCTCGCCACGCCATGGAAGCCATGATGAATCAACCAATGTTGCACCAACGTAGGAATGTTCCTCTACTGTAAATGTTTCTACCTGGTCTGTTTCAAGTTTTCAAACAGGTCTTAGAATCTTCATGCTTCTCCTCTCACTTTGCGTCTGAATTATCAGCATCGACTCAGCATGGCCCAGAGTGAGTGGGCCACTGTTTGTTTTCAAGGATATACAGGGATTTGCCATGATACTGTAGGCAAAGCCGAAAGCCACTTGGAGCGCCAGAATGCTAATTTTGTGCTGCTCCGAAATTCAGCTTGGCCAACTTGCATATAAAACAGTGGAGAGGGCAGCGTGCGCTGGAGGCATCGTCTTGGCTCGTACGCTGGAGCGCACATGCCTCGGTCAGCTTTCCCAGTTCATCTCTGGTATCCAATCCTATGGTATTTCGTATGGATTTGTTTTGTCTCTTAAATCCAGCGAAATAAACAACAAATAACAACAACTCGTCCCGACCGGGCTTCCGACTCCACTGGTTCCTCGCCCAGAACCTTACGCCGAAGCACTTTGTGCTCATCCCTGGCAAGCTGGTGAGTTGTTTGCCGTGCTGTGGAACAGGTTCAAGGGCAACAAAACGAGCATTTTGGACTTTGCTCCCTTTGCTCCCAGGTAAGAGGTTGTTTATCTTGTTTGTCTTGTTCTGTGTTTTTTCTTTCTTTAGATTCGTAGACCTTTCTCTTTCCCATACTTTCCTTTCCTTTCCATTCCATCCCTTCCCTCCTTCCTTGCTTCCTTCCTGTCTCTTTTGAATTTTTGTATTTCAGTATGTCTTTGCTTTTTCTGTAGACAATGAGACCATTTATTTTGACATCCTTCTTTCTTCCTCTTTTGCATGTCACCACACTTTACCAGCAAATCAGGGTCTAAATGGCCCCTTGATTGCAAATCAAAGCCATGTCACCGAAGCTTTCGGACATCCTCCAAGGCTTTCTTCTTCCAATCCTCCAGCTCTTGGACCTCGCAATGCAAATCGGCAAAAACATATCATGACCGATAACCGGTGAATGGTTGCGGGTACCACGAGCCTGGCTCACTAGTAAAGCGAGTTGTCGTGAATCTTAGTCACAGAGTTCAGGGTGACCGCAAAAGATTGTAAAGGCGTGCGAACTGTTTCGGTCGCATGCTGCTGCGCTGGTACTCACCTAACTTCCGCCCCGGGGCAACGAGCCTCTGGCCTACTGCACGAACTAGCATCAAGCGTTCACCATGATCCAAGATGACGACCTAAGTATCCTAAATGTTCGATAGAACCAAGGAAGGTTTCGCAGCTGCTTCCAGCAAGAGCAGGCAAGGGAGATGGTGAAGGTTTATGCGTGGCATAGTTGACCAAACATGTCCAAGCCAGCCCTCTGTCAAATGAGTTTCTAATCACAGGTTCGCAAAGCACAGAACGGTTGATGGCTAAAATCAACTTCAGGTTTGACAGGGCTAGACTTGGGAGTGCGTGGTGCATCTGGATGTTCAGTTTCGGAACGTGAGGACACCTGCTGAACCTGTGTTTAATATGGTCTGATTTAGGAGCTAGGATCCCTTTGAGGTGTCCATCGCAAGTAACTTATGCTATGTTTATGTTTCAACTTGACTAATGTCGGATCCCAATTAGTGTAATGAGAGAGTATAAAAATAAGTTTTCGCATACTTATTCCCACACCCTGAATAGTTTAATGGGAGGCAATAGTATAAAGTGTTTCAATCAGTGTGATTTTTGACGAATCGTATACTACTCGATTGTTCTGCTATTGTTGCCCTTTGAGATCCTACTTTAACTTATAGGACTACCTATCACTGCTGCTGCTGCTGCTGCTGCTGCTGCTGCTACTACTCCTACTCCTACTCCTCCTACTCCTCCTACTCCTCCTCCTACTACTTCTCCTACTTCTCCTACTCCTACTCCTACTCCTACTACCACAACTACTACTCCTACGTTACTACTCCTCCTGCTACTACTACTCCTCCTCCAACTATTGCTACTCCTACTCCTCCTCCTACTACTTCTCCTACTACTCCTACTCCTACTACCACAACTACTACTCCTACGTTGCTACTCCTCCTGCTACTACTACTCCTCCTCCAACTACTGCTACTCCTACTCCTACTCCTACTCCTACTACTACTACTACTACTACTACTACCACTACCACTACCACTACCACTACCACTACCACTGCAACTGCTAGTACCTCCACCACGGGACGGTTTATAGTAATTGTGTAAGATCCAACATTAGCTGGCAAATGTTTATATCTTGGGAATCTAAGCACGAACAACCTCCAACGCCATCCGCGGGTGCTAGCTGCTAGCTCCAAACAACTCTGATGGATGCCTGGCCTTGTGTTGCAAATGAATCACCGTTCCCCACAACGACCTGGCGCAGCCATTCACCAAATATGATCAAATATGTGGTAACACAATCCTTCAAACAAGGAAACCATGTTCGTGAACAAATGCTCAAGTAATTTGCTCCGTCAAATAAATGTGAAAGGTTTGCTGAAAGTATGCCGCCAGCTCGGTTGCACATTTGGAGGCAATTTCCTAGGCAGTCCAAGGCAAACATAGAACAAGTTCATGAAGCACACAAATCTTGACACCTAGAAACTAAGGCACTACTAAGGTCAACTCTGCGTGATAGTGCGCTACGGCAGCACCATCAGCCGCCCCATCCTGTCAATGGGCAATGAAACCTATCAATTTCACGAACGAACGGACGGACGAACGAAGGAACCAACAAAGAAACAACAAAAACAAAAGCAAGCAAACAAGCAAGCAACCAACCAAGCGAACAAGCGAACAAAAAATCAGTGCTAAAGGGCCAGGTATTCGAAGTAAAGATTTGGCCTCGTGCTGGGCACGCACCCCCAGACCAAAATTTCACAAACCTTATACACAAGTGTTTTGTTTCGCGAGGGGGCCATTCAAAAAGCAAGTGAGAAACGCTACTGGCACTTAACAACAAGTGTTGCGATGAGGCACGAAATTGTTTTCCGTTCGGCAGGCTTCGCAGACAAGACTGGGTCCTTCCAAGGTCCTGCCGCCCAATCCGGTCCAGCATCCGCGTGCAATCCTTTTGAGGTTCAAGTGACCCCAAATCATGTTCTGATTGCAGCACTCTGTCTTGAACTTGAACTCTTGAATTTCAGAATCAAAGGAACAAGATGGAGCCCACGAACACGAATGCACACACGCATTGGAAAACTAACGGCCAACCATTGTTTGACACTCTTGCGGGACACTCTTGTGGCACATTCGCGCGCGACACTCTTGTGGGACACTTTTGTACGAGACGGACACTCTTGTGGGACTCTTGTGGCAAGCTCTTGTGGAAAACTCTTGCGGGACACTCTCACGATACTCTTGGGGGACATATTATATTCATATTCATTTTTGTGGGACACTCTTGTGGGACGCGCTTTTGGGACACCCTTGGGACACTCATGCGGGACACCCTTGTGGGCACTCTTGTAAGAGACACTCTTGCGGGACACTCTTACTCTCGCGCGACACTCTTCTGGGACACTCTTGTGGGGCGCTTTTGTGGGGCACCCTTGTGGGACTCTTGTGGCACAATCTTGTCAAAGTGGGGCACTGTTATGAGACACTTGTAAGTAAGACACAAGTCTTGTGGGGCACTCTTGTGGACACACTCTGACTCCGTGGGGCACTTTCTCCGAAACAAGTGTTTCATACAAGACTTCTTCCAAAAGTGAGGCGGGAAGTCTCAAAGCGGAATCAAGCACCCCTGCCAAGCAGCTTCGCAATCCCAGCCCCTCAAAGCCACAGCTGGCACGCTAATCCCATGGCACCACGACGTCCACCAAACGTCACAAACTGCCCCTGCCACGAAAATTCAACTTCGACACCTCCAACACGCACAAAGTACTGCGCCTGTCACGAAACGCTACTACATCACATCTTCATGTCTATTCAGCAACACTTAAATTTGAATTGCACTAATGTAAAATCATTATTAATGAGCCTCCACTGGCTACTTCTAACCCACAAACCCCTGGAATTGCGCAAATTAAAATAGTATTGGTTGCTTATTTCCCCCTATAATTGTCTAGTTGGGTACCACAAGCCCCCCAATCAACCGAGCCCACAACCAGGTCAACTTTCTTGTTTATTATTACTACTACTACTACTACTACTGCTTCTACTTCTACTGCTATTCCTACTGCTACTGCTACTGCTGCTACTACTACTGGCACCACTGCTACTGCTATTGCTATTGCTATTGCTATTGCTATTACTACTGCTACTGCTACTGCTACTGCTACTGCTACTCCTACTACTACTACTACTACTACTACTACTACTACTACTACACTACCACTACCACTACCACTACGACTACCACTACTACTACTACTACTACTACTACTACTACGGCTACCACCTACAATTACTTTCTGATGGAACCCAAAAAAATGTCTAAAATTCCGCGCCTATATATTTCCCATTATTTCCCTTTTCCTCCTCCTCCTACTACTACTTCTTCTTCTACTGACCACTACTACTACTACTACTACTACTACTACTACTACTACTACTTATACTTACTGCTACCACTTTTACCCCTGCTGTCCTTAGCCGATTAGCAGATTATTCAGGGGAGGTGGGCTGACCTCATGAGTGGTATCTCATATCTTCTTGACCCTGTTGACCCACCGTGTGGGAGGGGGGCTATTGATCAGGTCTTTGCCTTACACCGCACGTTTTGAATGATTTCGACACTTTCGTAGGACACTCGCATCCACCAAAATCGCCGAAGCATGCTACGAAAACACAGCTTCGAGGCAACAGCCTGCAAAGCAGATGCCAATGGCACAGCGACATCCAACACCTCCAAAATACGACCCTGCGACACCCCAATCCCAGCGGCACAACGAAGGACACTATGAGGATCTCACGAAACGTTGCACCTGCACAGCAAAATCATCCTCCACACGTCCACATGCTACGCTTCCACACTACATCAAACGAATCTGACACTTTAGCCTTCCATCCAAAACCCCCTCCAAAACCTTTTCCCCAATGACAGGGCCTTATCAATCACATTCGGACAGTTGCGGACGGCTGCGAACGGTTGCGGACATGAAAGCAACGTCGCCCGAACAACGCTCTACACTCAGAAAGCTAAACGAGAACCCTTCGCTGCACATTCAGGCAAAAGGATCTGCAAAGGAAAGAGTGAAAGTATCTGCCGCACACAATTGTCTTCCTGTTAATAAATGTGTTCCGATACGGCCTGGGTTGGAGAAAGGCTCGGCTGCCGGGCTCAGGTGGCTCATGGAACCTGGCGTCATGTTCCTCATGGCACCTTGAAGTTGAAACCTACTGGAAACACTGCAAGACGGCAGAGCAACTGTGCTCAGCCACCTGCAGCTATAGCAACTATGCTCTGGACTCCGCAACTTCAAAGGACAGCCCACTCGCTCTGAGCTGATAAGCCAAGCAGCAGCATACATGTTCCATGAACTCAAGGGGTCTATTCAAGTTTCTGAGGATGTGCTATTGTTTGAAGTTCAGGCGAAGTTCCAATGATTTGGCCAAAACATTTTTTCAGGACACGACTTGCAATACCGATGCTTGGTAGGCTAGTGCCGTGAAGTGCGCGCAAGCCGAAGCTACTGGATCACCAGCCTTAAGACTCACCGTATTACTTGCTGCGCTGATACTGTCTTGAAGTCTTGAAGCATCGAGACAATTGCAACTCAGAAAGTTCTGTTGTGCGGGGAGTTACCCTTATAGGGATCCAACACCACCCCGAGACTGGCAACACCTGCCGATGTGCTGTATCCTCAGCTGGTGTGCATCGTACCTGAACAGTTGCCATGTCGAGTTGTCCAAGCCGCCCCCCGCGACGCTCCCCAGTATCGCTTTGTATTCAAACACTAAAATCGTGGTAGTCTATTGCGCTAATCACGTGTAAGGCGGCAAGGTGGCACGTCCGACTGGTCAAGCCTGCTCCCGAATGCATATTGGTGACTTGGCCAGTGCCTCATGCTGAAGCGCATCAACAAACTTGCTTTATTCTACTGCCCAAGTGTGCGAGCAACCAAACAACAACTCCAACAATCAGAGCTGCTTTTCGTGCTAGGCGAATTCTTCATCGCATAGCTTGGGGCGGTTCTGTAACCATTACAGGGCACAGGCATTGTGGATGCCTCAGTGAGGTCACTGCAAATTTGCAAAAAAAACACCCGGTTGAATGTCTTTCACTTGTGAACAGGGGTTCTTCACGCGCAGTCTCCACTTGCGATTAAAGGTCACAACCACACTGGATGTTCGAATGACTCGCGCAGCGCGCGTGTCTCTTTTCTGAGTGTCAAGTCACTACAGTCGCTGGAGCTGCCATTGGCACTGCCGCCATTGACTTGGGCGCAATCCCTTGCACCACTCCTGCCGCGCATGTCAAACAAACATCTTCTCAGGCCGCAGCCCAGACAGAGTTGTAGACACAGTCTTGACATATATACATGTTGACTTGTGCGCAGTTCCTGCACAGTCCATGATGTCCAAGGTATTGCCACGCTGTGCGTCACCAGGGTCCTCAAGATGCATTCAGAATTGGTGATTTTGTGTGATGCGTACGGGGCCAAACTGTGCAGTTATTGAACTACACAATAATCGCAATATAACGACTTCTTGATGATACCAAGTCGGATGATGGGAGGCTTTTGTGATGCGATTTCAGGCATGGTTTTAGCTGAAAACGTGGAATATGGTGCTCGGGTGAGGTAGAACACTACAACTTCCTTCATTGCTCACCTTTCCAATCTCTATCATTTTTCTTAGTCGCAAAGGACTGCTAAGAAACAACATGACCGACCGCCCACAGTACAAGAAACATCAAGAAACCCTCTGAAGACCACGCGGAAGAGTTGCCAAAGAAACGCTGTCTTGCGTTGCTTGGAACCAACTAATACGATGATCCAAAAAATATATATAAAGAAGATAAGGTCCGCTTTCAAGAGGCCTTACCTACGTTTTTAATGGTTTTTTCTTAATCCTCTCATTGTTTGGCCTAATTCTCAGGATCTTCAGGAGTGGGATTGAGTTGCACCCTTGTGCCATCTCCTCCATCTTTCGGCGCCGCTTGCCATGGCCGCTGCCATCTTCTTCTTGCACATTTTGGAAACGCCTTGGCCAAAGTCCAGTCGAGCTCAGGCCACCTTTTGAATTCAATTCTACCAAAAAACCGTTTCAGCATCTTGTAGGCATCCACGATGATGACAAATTCCTGCCGCGGAGAATTGAAACAGTCACTGTATGCTACGACTATTCAATTATTCCGCTGTTGCTCTGGCCACATCCAGCCCCTCTAGACAAATGTTTCAGCCGACGCTGCCCCGACACATCCTATCTTTTTGGTCCTCTGGAAATTGCTCTGGAGGAAATTGTCTCAGGCGGGCTACAAAGGCCTGCCGGACCTGATGGCAGAATGATCCATGTGTTGTTCAAAACTGTAGCATTGATGCCTTGAATCTTGAACTTACATGATATGGTTCTTCTATTGGGCCTGTTGCCAGCAGTTGGCATCTGTCAGTCCAAGAACCTGACAGTAACGGGTTTGAGTTTGAACAACTGTGACGAGGGTAAACAATAGGATGCAAACAATTTAGTTAGCAAAACGATGTATACATTACTAAAGACAGGATTGTGTACTACCTCTCACATCGGACGTGTCTGTCGATCGATGATACGCCGGACGCTCTGGACCAGGCATACAGATTACATTCTTACAAAGGAACAAAGTTCCGAACAAATCCTGACACTCCTGTGCTCCGAACTGCAAGCGGACTCAGGCCACCCTGACTGGGTAGTGCTCCGGCAGAGGCCTGCATGGCCGGGGCAAAGTGAAAAAACGGGAATGTAGCTGAATAGCCGTCAGTTCTTGGAATCTTCACGCGCAACCCTTGTATGATTGCGATGGTCAACGTCAACCTCTTCCAAACACTCTTTGTTTCATAAGCCAGTTGTATTGTTATCAGTGCCACAACAGAACAAGAATGTTTAAACCGGCGTACCACAGCCTCAGTAGGTCGTTCAAAGACGAACGTTGCAACGAATGCCACCGGTGGAGGCGCAAAAGTACGTCCGTAATACCAAAACTGAAATGAGACATGCATGCCAGGAAATGACGTCATGAATACAATGGCCTCACCATGCTTCACCCCTGTTTCCAAAAGCCCCAACATTCTGTACAGACAGCGCTGCTATTGGGTGGCCAATTCCTGGGTCGACAGGGAAGGCTACAAAGGAAGGACAATGAAGATTCTTGCAATTGCGTGGAGCGCGTTGGATTTTCCACGGTCTCATTGATTTGAGCCACGGGTGGGAACTCATGGCGCAATATCACTACTGCTAAATCGAAAACCGAATGAAACAGCTCACACAACTACAACAATCTGCAGATTGGGCTCTCAGTTTTGCCCTTGGCGCGAACGAAGAATACACGGCTTACGGCTTACGGTGTTGCGAGTTCGCAACTCCCCGTAGCCAACCTGTCTATGGCACGATTCGCGCGAGCAAAAGACGACCCGACGCTGCTCAACCAAGCTTTGCAAAGGATCAAGCAAGACAGCTCTCTACGCCACATACAGCGGAAGTTAAATTCACGAGGTACTCAATTCTCAACTGCAAGGGCCTCTGCCAAGTTGCGAAAATATCTCACATCTGAATAATTTTGGCTTTCGTGGCGCCTTGATCCCAACGGCGCTGCACTGACCCGTCCGAGTCCCAGCAACACCAATACGATCGAAGGTTCGACGAAATTGTGAAGTCCACCCAGGACTTTGTGACGGTCGTCGAAGTGCGCGATATTGCAAGTTGCAAACTGTGCCCAACACGCAACACGCTAGGCTTGCCCCAACGGTCAGCGCGACCCGCTGCAGTGATGATGATGGTCGAGCAGTGTCGGACACCAGTTACCACGCAACGCCGCACACACTATCATAGATCGGAGCACAAGCGTAGCTGTTGGTGAATTGAAATCACACGAGCACTCGTTCTTGGTCTCCTGAAGCTTTGCAAGATACGACGGAATCAACGCGTATGGCGGGTGGATCGGGTCGTGTCACCTCCAGGAGAGCGCTTGATATCTAGCTCCACTCTTCGTACTCCAGAGGCTCTAGGACTCTAGGAGCGCTGGATGTCAGCGAGCAAGCACACTGAAGTTATGCGCGGGCTTGAGTTGCCAACCAGATGTGTCCCAAATGCAGTCAGTGAGCCTGAGCTGCAAATGCCGTTCAAGGACCTGACGACACCCTGGCTTCAACCTTCTCCGATGTGCCACCACGTGTCTTGCGAGACACCTGCGGACAAAAATTGTTAAAAGCTGCGGCCGAAGAGACACCCGCGAGTACGCCTCGATCAACCAGTGTTCTGTGAGTGCCAAATATCCGAACTGGCGAAATACAAGCCTTGCAATGCACAGGGCAGATGCTGCTGACCCACGATCCCTAGTTCAAAGACTTTAGGCCTAGGTTCTCTACTTGCTTCAAATCCTCTGGAGTGAGACAAGGAGATCTGACAAAAATGTCTTACTAGGCTCTATTCCCTGCCGCAGACGCGCAGTGTCCTGGGGCTGAAGTCTCTCAAGAACAACCCTCGAGCGATTCCACAGGTGTCCGCTACGCAGCGATCACCTGAGAGGCGGATGTTCACACTGATCACAAGCTAGCAAATCGTGGGGCGCAACGAACGAATGGTGGCGGGGGTGCAAGCACAAGGGGGCTCAATCCTTCAGTCTGCAAATACGAAGGTTTCAGTGGCTGTGAACCAGTTAAACCGACCTACCACAGCCTAAGTAGGTGGTTCAAAGGCGAAAGCTGCAACGAATGTCAGCGGTGGGCACGCCTTTTCTGTCAGCGCTTGAGCCAAAAGTAAGTCGGTATTGTCAAAAGGAAATGAGACATGCATGTTAGGAAAGGATGTCATGAATACAGTGGTTTCACCCCTGTTTCAACTACTAGACTAGGATTGACAACTTATATATATATATAACAGTATTGTCAGTATGGTTTCTTTTTGAATGTTGTTTGCCCTTGCTCCTGTTTTGCTAGTCCGGTCCATTCTTCCTTCTACACGCATCATCGGCCCACCGGAGTAAAACCCAAATCTCGAAGCCGATGTACTGCTGCTTCGGCCTCTAGAAACGAATGCAAACAAAGGTCAAAATAAAAGCTGATTCTAGAGGCTTCAAACGTCTTCCTTCACAGGCGAAGGAAATGCCTCGTGTGAAATTGTCCGCTTCATCCATCAAAGGAACTGCCTCTGGACACACAGAGTCGTAGCACTGTAGCATCAAGAATGCAAGCTTAGACCTGTGTGACCATGGGAGTGGCAGGGTGGAAGGGCATCCAAATTGCTGAAAAAGACCATTTGACCCCCACCCTGAGTCTGTTGCCCTGCAGTATTGGGGCTCAAAAAAGTTGTTTAAGCAAATTGGACGGACAATGGAAATAAATCAAGGGCAAATCACCTGTCCGGCTTATCATTGCTAAGCAGTATTGATTGGTATCAAAACCCTCTGAACTGCAAGTCGTTCTGGTGAAATCACAAGTTTTGTTGCTGAGGCTGAAGCTATGCAGGACACGCCGTGCGCCCATGAAAATAGATCTGCCAAAAGGTGACGTACTTGCGAATTAATGCCAAATAGTGTTTGCAGGTGGTTCGTCCGCTATGATTTGCAAATGCCGCGAACTGAAACTAGTCTGTCCAGACTAACCAATCTTCTCGAGAGGAGTTGCAAAGGAATAAAGGTGCTTTGGTGTTGCTTTCTTGAGCACGTCTGAGCCAACAATTGAAGCTCCTGTTGTTAGCATAGGAGTCTTCTGTCTTACACGGTATGTTCCATTCTAACGATTACTTTTCCTCTAGATCAACGTCATCCGCTTCCGCTTCAACTTCTGGTGTCCCTAGCAGCGTCAGGCTAGGAGACGCCATGATGCATCATGATGCCATATCTTGTATTATCTTCAGCGCAAAAAGGCACGCAAAGAATACATTGCATGCTAAACAGACTCTGAACACCTATTTGTGGTTCCCTTTGTGGGCTCAAGGGTGAGACGTAACGGACAAGACTCCTCTCAGTCTGAAGGAGTCAATTGCTACGATCTGCAAATATTTACACCTAGAGATAGAGGCCCTTCCAAACGGATTGTCACCAAACAGCCATCAAATCTGGGGCCCAGATCGAATTCAGAACAACCTGCAGAAATGCAAATTACAGCAATGCTCAGAAGTATGGGCCTGCAAGGACTGTTCTGTGGCTTAATGTGGCTCCTTTACACCTGCCAACTGGAGCTGGTGGCAAGCCAAAAATGCTTGGGGATTGCACAATCCTTACCATTCGCTCCAACAGTAATTTAGAAAACCAAATCTTATCTGGCTTTGGAGGGCGCGCGTGCGGCCTGCTGGCTGCATGGGAGCAGCCTTGGCAAGTAAGTTGCACGCATGGTACAGCTGGTCGGTAATTATCGTATTGATTGTAGTGGCTTTTCGAGGGCTGGCTCCATAGCCCGTCAATTGGGTGGCCACATATATATATATATAGTATAACTTTTGTGAAATGTGCCGGCCTTAGACCTGTTCGCCGCGGTTCAACCACCCATGACGCCAGTCTGGGGTTGGGAAGGGCGAGGACGACTTGAGCAGGAGAAAACCAAGACCATAGGACAGGGATCCCTTTGCAGGGGAGGCAACACCCAGGCTGACCTGGGAAGATTCTATTGGTAGCGGAGCAAAACATAGGGATCGAGGGGGCTGGTTTTCACTTTGATTCGTGCACACGGGGCCGTGACTTGCGAGCCATGCCGTGGGGTACGGCTGGAGCTTCGGGAGCTGGATCAAATGGTGGTCAGGGTGATGGAAGATCGAAATTGTCCACTAGCCAGTTGACTTGGAATCAGATTCCAAGCTATACTGCAGCTGAATCTGACTTGGAGGACTACGCGAAGAAGCTGATGTGTCTGCATTCGATCTGGCCAGAAGAGTTCATTTCTCATTTAGCGCCACGAGCAGCGCTACAATGCGACTCAAGATCGACCCACACCGCATCAAATCCAAGGGATGCGAAACCATCCTCAATGCATTGGGAATGCAGTGGGGACGCTTTCAGAATGACTGCTATGTGAAGTTCGAGAGGGCATTGTTTTTGACAACCCAGAAACCAAATGAAAGCAATGGTTCATGCGTTGCACGTCATGAGGTTTGCTTTGAAGAAATTATCCAGAAGGACAAGGGAGTAACTCTGGAGGAAAACAGAGCCTACGTGATGATCAGGCATTCTCAACTTTCCAGTGAAAAGAAGAAGAAAATAATCGTTGACAACAAAGGTGAGTTGACCTATGGTGCCACCAGGGATGCCCTTCTTTCGAGACCTTCAAGGTGGTGGTACTAAGAAGTGGAAGGCTTACGCTGTCCACACCGTGGATGACCAGGAACCAGTGTATCGTCACTACGGTCGATGAAGGGATTGATGAAGAGCACGCCTATGAGGTCTTCATGCAGGACTTTGAAGATCAGGTCATTGAAGTAGTTCAAGAGTGAGCTATCAGGAAGCAAGGGCTCGGTCCGTTTGCGAGAATGTGCTCGTCACCGATTCCGGCCTCAGAGGCGAAAAAGTGGAAAAGGGTTCAGTGGCAAGAAGGGGTGAAAAACAGTGAATTTCCAAGGATTTCCCCCGCATCGAACACTGGCTGAGCGTATCGCCAATTCAACTTGCCGAATCTGCAACAAGCCAGGGCATTGGAAACGAGAATGTCCACAACGTCATGAACGTTCAGATCGTCAGGTTGACATGGCAACTATGGCCGAGGACTTCATGGAGATGAATCCATCAGAGCTCCCAGAAGACCTCCCGCATGAGATTCAGAATTTCATAAAATTGTGTTGACAAAACGCTTAAGTGTGTTCCCCTGGTTTCTAGAATCATGAACTTGCAGACCACTAGAGAACCACGTGAAGAGATGTTTGGGGACTGCTTTGGCAAGGCGGCCACAGAGCCCACGGTACGCCCGTTGGGCCGGTATCCCCGGGCCCGAACTGAGCCATGGCAAAGCTGAGGAGCTTATCGAGATGCTGTAGTTCAAGGTGGCTATATAGTATCAAACTGGCATGCGACCTCTGAGATCATCAAACCGAGCCGAGTGATCTTTGGCTTCTGGCACGACTTGCCAACATTGTCTTTACGAGAGGACTTGATGCAAGATGGAGAAGCCAAATCCATGGGAGGATCATACGGCAGCCTGTTGAGGGCAGGCAACTTCTTCGACTTTGGTCACTGATGCGGAGTTCTAAGGCTTTGATCATGTGGATTGTTCTAGAGTACCTGAAGCAAACATCGTTTCTGCCCGTCTACGGGGAAGAGATGGAGGCATGGTTCTTTTGCAATCTTGGAAGCTTGCGGAATTCCCTCGGGGTGAGGGTGAGGCTCGGATGGGTCACACAACAGTTTCTATGTTAAACGACTTCTGTGACAAGGGTCTCCTGCAGGATGATTTTGTGATGAAGAACTTTGATCCTGGCCATGTGCAGCTTTTGCTCGACAATACCAATTATAGACAGGAGTTGCAACATCAGAATACACTGGCCAGAAGAAAGTTGCGCTTGTTGATGTTGAAACTCATGACAACCCTATCCCCCTAGAATCCTACACCATGAGACAAGGGAAGGTGTGGGCGGTCATTTGTCACCCCGGAAAGCCTTTTATTATTATAAATTTAAAAGAGGGTGATAATTGACCGTCCCACGCCTGTCACGAAAATTAGACTTGTTAATTCGATCCGTCGTTGACCTCAGAGTGTTTTGTAAGAAGGCTAACAAGCGTAAACTTTTGTCTGCCTGAAGTATACCTTGAGTCAACTGGCTACTTTTTCTTGGACCAGACGACCTGTGCCAGCTGCTTTTGTGTACGCTTACGTTCCGGCCACCGTAGCGCGCGAGGTGTACAGCCTATGTTATTCCTCTTGAGATTTACCTCCTGGAATGATACTGTAGGCTTCCCATAGCAGGTGGTTTGATGCCTTTGTCTCGGCACTTGAGCGCAGGCTTCTTTTTTATTTGAGATTCTAAAACGGGATTTTCACCGTAACATGCTTAATTTTGCCAATTGAAAACCTCTTGGCAATTCTACAAATACATTTCGATCTTCTGACAGTACCTCCAGTACCCGGATCTCGGATCCGAAGGGCTGTGAGGCGCATCGGATCGGATGCAAGTTGGGTGTGGGACTGCTTTGGCATGATTAGTCTTTGATGGAGACGGTTTTCGTGAGAAATTGACTGAAGCGTTCAATCGGACTGCAAGGCTTGGCACTGAATGGTCTCAGCGACGATCAGCCGGAACACCCGAAGCGAAGAGCTTGAGCCAGACTTTTTCCGTGAATCAGACCTCTCACTCCAGACACTACCCAAAGTCTTGAGGAGAATTGTGGAGGGGCGATTTTGGACACTGGAGCAAGCCGAACAATCATAGGCAGTGAGATCATTGGACCCAGTTTGGAAAGGGCTTTGAAGGGCATTGAGATCCGACGTGGTCCATCGAAGTGTGTTTCGTTTTGGAACAGTGGGTTGCTCCATAGCGAAGAAGCACTCTTTTTGAAACATCTTGGAAAAGGCTGGCTCCGCGTTGAGATCGCGCCCGGAAGCATACCATTCTTGATATCTAATGCATGAAGGGTATTCTGGTATTCTAGATGTTCACATGGGACGATTGAGTTTTCATGGAAGTCATGACGTGTTGCAATTGAGGCAGGTAAGGAACAGGCTGAATTGTGTCAATGTTCGTGAACTGTTGAATTTGCGTTTTCATGATGGTACTGGGTGAAACCTGTTTGCACACATGGAGACACATTTTTGGAGAAGACAGAGCCAAATCTCATCCACCCAGACATGGATGAGGAACTCACTCAAAACTCTAACCCAGCAGAGAAAGATGAAACGGAATTGCAACAAACCACAGACTTGCAGCAATCTAACCTTGTCCAAATGCAGCCTTCCAGAAACATCAAGATCATCTTCCCGCAAGCTCTCCTTTGTGGACACCCAGTCATGGCACTGCGAAAGACCGTTCCGTAGTATCAGCTCGAAGAGTTGTCCGGAGAGGAGGACGGCTCATTGGTTCAAGAGAATCACCAGCCGCACACATACCAGTACAAGGCGCCGACGGGGATTCGTTACCTTCATCAGTGGGGCTGGAGACCTTCCACACCTTTGGAGAGACCTTCGAGAAGGACAGCGGGTATGTGCAATGCATGCACAACCCAAGGTTGTCAACCGACCTGCTCAGCTTTCAGAACTGCAAGGCAATTCTGCAATGAGCTCGGGACGTCTCCCGATTCAGATCTCCCGACAGGCAACCAGTGAAGCCGAGTGGAGCCATGTCGAGGTGACGACAAAGATCGAGCTCACCAAAGCCAGCCCCGAGAAGCACAAACGGGGTGTGCTCAAACCAGTACACCGAACGACATGATGATCCAGGAGGGCGGCCAGACAGTGCAGGAACTACAGACACAGATCGCGATCCTGCAAAGGGAATTGGCGAAACAGCGGCCACCGATGACCGACAAGCCCAAAACTCCCTGAAGAGAAATCTGAAGGAGAAACTCAATTCGAGATCACCGAAATGGAACAGAGATGAGGTAGATAATGGTACACAATGTAGATGTCAAGAACTCATTCATTCCATTGAGGACGGTTTGTCCAGGTTGCCAAAGAAATTTGTTTCGGCAATTGACCTACCTCATTCTGGACGTTCAGATTCAGAGACCAATCGGCCAGTTGACCGCCTCGGGGTGTATTGTTTTCAACATTCCCAGCTCACACAACAACCAAATCAATCGCTTATATAGAGGGGAAAGCTTTGCGCTTTTCTCGTGAGCATGGTGACCTAATTACACCAGAAGGAGTCAGCAAATTGTGGACCTGGATCTATATATATATATGTATGAGCCAACCCACATTTTTGGCATCGCCTGATGGTATATTTTGGGGTGGTTTTTCAACACTGAACATGATCTGAAGTAGAGATTCCTAACACAGTTTGACGATGAGAAAAAGAGAACGATACCAGTTGAGGTTGTGCAATGACTTGTATTGGCACCAAGTTTGTTTGGGAAAGCATGTTCATTTAGAACAACCTAGTGGGTCGGACATGATGAAACAAGAAGTGTATGACATAGCTACAGTGCAGGAACGATGCCGGCGTCATTTGATCAATGCCAGGTGGGTGGATTGCGTTTGCCGCAGGATCCAGGATGATCGTTTCCTCCGGAAGAGAACTGTCGTACACACCACATCGAGAGTTGTCCACTCTCTTCTACATCACAGATGGTGCTCGCAAGACCATGAACACCGACGGATAGAAGGCAACTTCACATACCAAGGAGTCCAACAACAAGTTTCAGCTTTCACAGCACACTACACACGGACACTAGCCGCTCACTAGCCAAAACAGTAGCCAAAGCCCTGTGGAAAATCAGTAACTTGGTGGAAAAGGATCCTTTGGTTGTCATGGAGCTTTTAGCTGCTGGTTTTGAAGCTTCCGAAAGTGGGAAGAAAAATTATCTCAAGTAGTGATGGATTCTCTCCGGTTGAAACGTCGTAGATGCGAATATAAACAACCGTGCCCAGAGGCATTTTCATCGGCTGTGCACCTACATCGTGGGAACAAGTGATGCAGGATGTTTCGAAGGATACCCCAAGGGTTGGACCACATGTGATAAGGAATGGTCTGTTTTGTGACAAAGTCCAAAGCTTGATCCCAGAGAAAAAGGTACAGTTGATGATTGCTTGTCGCGGGACCGATCGTTACTGAACCCCAAACAAAGGTGAAGAGGTGAGGGAAACTCGGAAAACTGTGTATGGTCACAGAGTGTCTGGGGAGGCAATCGATGTCGGCGAACCAGAGGAATGGCAGAAGATGTCTCGGATGAGGCGGGTAGGTATATGTGGACCTCCCTGACAATTTTTGGACCATCAAGTCAAAGAAAAGTCATGTCCAAGAATGAAACCGAAAGACAGGCCATCCAGTATTCCCAGGCAGACCAGTGGTGTGGACTCTTTGGAGAAACGAAGGGATGAGGCCTGGGCTCCCAGACTGATAGCCGTGTCAGGACCAGCTTATTTGAAGTTGTCCCCCGAAGAACGATTGGATGTTCAAAGGCTTCACCAGAATTTGGGGCACCTAAATCCAGACTTGTTCCATAAGATCCTGAAAGAAAGGGGAGCAACAAAGGCGGTCCTGTCCGGAGTCCGGAGTAAAAAACTTCAGTGCCCCACATGTGCAGAAAACCAAACAACCCCATTGCTTTCGAGACCTGGCAGTATCCATCGTGTTCGTGACTTCAATGATGAGGTAGGGGGTAATGGTGCATGGTGGGAAAATGGTCGAGTCGAGGTAAGAGTTTTCACTTCATGCATTTTGTGGATGAAGGGAAGGGACACTGTTTCATTTAGGAGCACCCAGCGGTCGAACAACCCAAGAACAAATTTGAGTGTTTGAAGATGTGTGGTTGTTGCAGTGGGCTGGACCGTGCCAAGCTGCTGTATCTCGATCCTGCTGGCGAATATGTGAATGATGAATGGACCCAGTTTCTTCAGCGAGAGAATATCCGTGTGTTCCTGAGTGCAGGAGAGAGTCATTGGCAACATGGCCGATGTGAAAGACATGGACAAATTGTGAAGACATGTTGGATCGAATGAACTAGGATAATCCAGTTGACAAGGAAGAAGAGTTTAGGCTTTGTTTGAGACAAGTTTTTGCGGCCAAGAATGCTCTCAGCAGAGTGGGGGGTTTCACACCAGCACAGGCACTTCTGGGAAAATCCCGACATATTCCTGGATCACTGACCGGGCATGAAGATGTTGGGAGTCATAGCTTGGCAGTGAGTGATGATCCAGAAGGACAATGGTTCCTAAAAACTTTGGCACGTCGTGAACAGGCCGACACAGTTTCACAGCTGCAGACAACGACAATAGCTTCCGGCGAGCCTTGTTGCGAAGGACCGGCCAAGCAGAGCCCAGTATCAGAAAGGAGATTGGGTTTTGTATAGGAGAAAGAAAGGTGCTGGACAGAAAGAAAGGGGCAAATGGTATGGTCCTTCACAAGTGATTTGTTGCGAGGGCAACAAAGTACTGTAGTTTGGTTGAGTCACTGTGGCCGACTAATTCACGCAAGTCCATCTTCGACCTGGATCTTTAAGGTAGTACCGTACCACCTTTTACCAAGGGATAAAAGAGGTGAGGTCCGTGATGAGAAACTCCGGGAGGGGGTAGGATGTGGTAGGTCCTAGAGAGTTTGTTGATCTAGATGAACTCCCTTTGAATGACAAGATGCTCCTTCAATTGAGGCAAGTGATCGACCAGAAATGGAAATCTCTCCACCTTCCTCCATAGAAGCAGATAGTGATGTTGGGGAAGCCAGAGGGAGAGAATGAGCACACCCCTTCAGAACCAGGAGTCCGAATGGAGGTGGATGGGGTTGATGTGCCCTTTGAAGAAGAAGAAGAAGAAGAAAACAATTAACTGTTTGTTTTTGATGATGCCTTGTACCAGCTACAGTAGGTGAATTAACGTATGATACTTGTTTTGGAGATGGACCGGTTGAACAGGTTTCGAGTGTTGAGGAGGAAACAATGTTTGCGGTTTGGGACTCTCTGAACGTGTCTCATCCAAGAAAGAGAAGGTTGAACTTAGGTGGGAAGATCTGAATGAAGAAAACAAACTTAAGTTCCGAGCCACCAAAAAGAAAGAAGTAAAGACCTGGCTGGAAAAAGAGTGGCCAAAGGGACATTTCGACCAGAAGAGGTCATGACATGTCGTTGGATCCTGGTTTGAACAACCAGGTCGTGAGCGGAGGGCCAAGGCCCGTTTGGTGGTGCTGGGGTTCACAGACCCCGGAATCTCCCATATCCCAAATGACGCTTGGAAAATCATGGCTTTGTGTGCAGTCCGTTTGACAGCTGTGTGTATATTTAGTCTGGTAACCCAGGGTCCAGATAAGAAGCCTCAGGTTCGTGGTCTGTTGGGCATTCACGTTGATGATGGTTTGGGTGGTGGTGATCAATATTTTATGGAAGTCCTCCAAAGGATCCAGAAAGTGTACAGCTTTGGAGCATTCCAGAAACGAAATGTTGCTTTCTCTGCGGTGCGATACTTTTAGTGGGGTGATGGATGAGTACTTGGAGAGAATTGCTCCCGTCCAGATTCCAAAGCATTGTCACACAGAACCCAGATCTCCTGTGACAGAAGGAGAACGCCAGGAAGTTAGACAGCTTTGTGGCTCTTTGCAGAATGCAGCAGTGAATACACCTTCTGGTTTGCCAGCTAAGGTAGGGGAAGTTCAGTCAAGGGTAACCCGTGCGACTGTTGGGGAGATGTTGGCGTTGAACAGGACTCTTCATGAGGTGAAGACCCATGCATGCAGTGTGTTTGCATATCGTTCCCATACCTGTGCAGGAGCTCACATTTTGTGCGTTCAGTGATGCATCATTTGCCCCAATCGCGACACAACCTCGCGTCAAGGAACAATCAGTTTCACGACAGATGGGCGCTTGGGAAATAATTAAGTGGGGATTGTGGAGTTCTAAGAAGATTCCTAGAGTTGTACGATCAACATTGTCAGCAGAGGCTGTTGCACTGAGTGCATCATTGGATCGGCTCTCTCTCCTGGCTTCGTCTCTTCTGGGAGTGGATGAAAGATCCTGGAAGTAACATCATGGAGCCAGAAGCAATGCTGGCACAAGTCCTCAATCCTCCATAGTAACAGACTGCAAGTCCGTGTTTGACGTTGCTACGAAGACTTCTACTCCAACTTGTGAAGAGTACCGAACATGTTTGGAGTGAATTCTCGTTCGTGAGAGGCTGAAGGAGAATTGTCAGTTGCGTTGGGTGAACTGTCAGGCACAACTTGCAGATTCTCTCACGAAAGCTATGGAAGGAACGTTGTTGAGGTTGTTGAGGCAGTGTTTGGCAGAAGGGAAGTTTAGTCTCTTTGATGAGACGGCGGCACTAAAGGAATGCGCCGACAGGGGGAACACTAGTTGAAAGAGAATAGATGAGAATAGAAAACAGTAGAATGATTTGAAGAAGCTACAAAATATGGGGTGTGTGAAATGTGCTGGCCTTAGACCTTCCGTTCGCCGCGGTTCAAACACCCATGGCAACAGGCGGGGGGTGGAAAGGGCGAGGACGACTTGAGCAGCAGGGATCCCTTTGCAGGGGAGGCAACACCCAGGTTTACCTAGGAAGATTCTCAAACTTTATTATTTGTATGTATATATGTATGTAATATATACTGTCTGTAAAATTATGTAAACATTATAAATACATATACTCATCAAACGCGCGACAAGCTGCAACCCATTGTCAAAAAATTGCTGTTCACTGAGGACTTCACGGTCATGTTCGACGGCGGTGCCATGGGTTGCATGGGTTGCATTGGCATGGGTTGCGGGGCCATGGGTGGAGGCCCACCATAGCCGTAGTTTTGAAAGGACTGGCAGAATTCATCAAGAAACAATCTGACACAAGCAATCAAAACTAAACTGCGTTCTTTACCTCTTTGATGTGAACTATGTGAATGCCTGCCTGCGGCGTTGGTGCACCTAAGAATAAGGACTGGCAAAGAGACTCAGAAAACCGCTCATCTTCCCAGAAATATTGCCATGGTCTCATTGTCTCAGCAGCTAGCTCTAGGCTCAGTATCATGCGCTTAAGAACTATTGTCCGACTCCATGGACTTTCAAAGCGACATCCAAGGCAAGTTGCTAAGGCAGCTTAGGCAACTACCAAAATTGCCTTGAGGACCTTGACCGAAACTTTGACCCCAGTGATTTGGTGGCGCGGTGACCTGGGCAAACTTCATCAAACTTCTATGGCTGAAGCACTGAAGCGTAAGGGTCCCTCACCATCGGTTGACGTTGTGACCGTTTACGCACTGGGGGCTGCATCAGAGCCCAGCAAAAGACTTTACAGCGATAAACTTTCTCACCAGCTCCGAAAGGTAAGGCGATTGGAAAAAAAATATACCGCACAAATACTGCTTTTGTACAGAAAAGGTTATATTCTCTTCTTGTTGTTCCACCTTCCCAACCGTACAAAACTGAAGGGGTCTCAGACAACGCTTGTTCCACGTGTCATGAATTTACAGTAAACGCAAGAGATGATGATCAACGTCTGCACGAATCTAGATTAGGTGAAATTTACATTCTTAACTTTAACCACCCCGGGCAGTAGCCAAGGGCCAAGGGGGCAGTGATTCATGAATACGTTGGTCTTCCACACATATTCTGCAAATTGCTCGCATGTCAACGAGTCAAAGAGGCTCTGTGAGCAAGCCTTTTGTTGGGCAGGGTCCTACAGTTCCTCGAGAAAGAAACTCACAAGAATAGTAATTAATTACTGCCGTTCAGGCAGCAGTCGAAGCTCGGGCTTTAGCGGGGCAGGGCCGACGATCAGTAAGTATATGTAACTACTTGTATGTAAGATTATGTAAGTAACATTGCTGTGAGCGTACCTACAAGCCACAACCGCGTAAAACTGCCTGACCCGCACACCAGAACTGTCCGCATCCGCAAGCACAACAGGCTGAACCCAAAGCCTGCAGAAAGGAGATCAAGGAGACAGAACAGAGAGGAGGGCCAGAACGACCACATCTGATATTTGGGGATTGGCCACTCGGAAAGGTCTGCGCGTTCCTTCAGCTGTTGTGGGCTTACATGGGTGAGCTGCAAGTTTATGAGGTCATCATGACGAGGCCAATTTGTTGTTTCAAGGTCGTATGCTGCACAACTCGAACTTCGTGTGTCCTCAATTAACTTGGCATTGCCTCTTGAATTTGCAGAGGAAAAGCTCGGAGATACAGCATTGCCCCCGGAACCAGCTGCTGCTGTTGCAGCACACACACAAAGACACACACAAGCATCCAACTTCAGCAGTCCTAAGAATACAGATCTACAAGCTGCTCATGGCATTACGGTAGCACATTAAATCACTATATAAATAGCTGACTTTGGAAGCGCACGCCAACCTTTCCACCATAGTTCGAGCTTGTCATCTCTGTTGCCTGCTCATGCGAACATGCAAACTGTGAGACAATGACGGGCTCTTGCTGGAACTTGATTGACCGATGTGGCTTGGTAGGGACCTGCTGGAACAGCTCTTGCTCCTGCATAAACTTGCGTTGCTCCTTAGTTGGTCCAGCAAAATAGCAGAGGGTCAGAATCACATCGTGACCAAGCACAAGCAAAGGTGTCAAACGAGCTTGGAAGGTAATAAGTGTCGGACCCGAAGCTCTGCTTCTCTGGTCTGGCAAAACGCAGAAGCAAATTCAATAGATTGGAAAATAAATGTTGCACAGGCAAATCAACAAGATGTGATGTATATCATGTTCAGTCCATCAATATGATGTGGCTTGCATGCATGAAAAAGGTCTGAAGCCAAAAACAACCGTATTTGTGATCCATCTGCCCCCAGGCTTGTAGCTACACCTCCATGGCTACCTGTTTTGTGTCTGCGTGCGCGTATGTACATGACGCGTTCTTGGCGTGCGCCCTGGTTACAGGAAGCAAGAATTCACCAAAGGGACCAGCGGTCCTTTTCATGGTCTTCATGATTCACGCCTGGAATTCAGAATGCGCTGAAGTTGTATTTAGAACTCCCTGGTCTTTGTTGTGAGTACCCCCAAACATCATGAGGCCAAGATAGTCGCATGTACATGTTGTTGTTCTATCGTGTCTCACAGTGGTTCAAACTGCATCTGAAAATCCAGGCATTGTTCTAAGCTGTCTCTGGGTACGGTACGTATACCCGTGTGTGTGTGTACGTATATACATTGTGGGCAACATGCACATATCACATATGATCCTCATAAACAACCAGCCTTACCCCTGGAGTGCCTGATTCTGAATCTACAAAATCAAGGCCCCCCATCCTGTGGAAGTCAAAAATGCCAAAATTGCCTTACAAAATCAATCGCTCAGCCATCTTAACAAAATCACAATTCTTTACAAAATCCAAGACCCTGGGTACAAATGTGCATGCATTGTTGCTTTACAAGATCTTGTGCCCCAACCTGTATAATGCCCGCGCATTTTACAACTGTTAGTGATGCCGTTGTTTCCTTGTCTAACTTTGGCGGCTCCACACTCAATGAGCCTAGTGCGACAAATCCAAGAACCGTCTATATACGCTATCTGAAATTATGTGCGCGTGTGACATGTGTCTGTGCGCAACCCTTGGGGTCATAGGGAGCCGTTTGGCTTTGGCTTGTTGAGTATGTAGGCGGGTCACCCATGGACTTGACACAGATCCCCAGATCGAGACAACCGAGGTCGAAAGTCACAAAAATGAAGAACCCCCCTTCTTCAAGCTGCCAACACAAAAATTCGGATTTTGTAGAGACTGTCGTCAGCTCTTCGCACACCCTTTTTCCCTTTGTCCACTAGGCCAAAATGTGGCTGGAAATGGATATATGTTATATATATATATATTCATGTTCAACATTGCTTTATCTTGATTATACCTCTGGGAATGTCGTTAATGCTTACAAAATCAAACTCAAAGAAACACATTGGCTTTGTTATTTACAACATCAAGGTTTGCTTGCTTTCACTTGATGCGCGATTGGCACTACAAAATCAAAACACCCATGTGCGAGCAATCTATCACCAAATTAGCCTTGAAATCCTTGAACAATATACAGTGGACTGCAATTGATCAAGGATAGGACTCTATGACTTTCTATAGTTTTGTTGCCAATGTTCCATTTGCTTGGCCACTGGGTCGTGCCATGATGCAAGACCATGAAGAAGCGACAATTTTCGGGCAACGTGTCTTGCATCATGGCACGTGCTCTGGCCAAGCAAAGTGGAAAGTTGCCAGGTATTGTAAAGAAGAATGCAAAACTGGACTCAATACGTTAACCGTTCATCGTCACTTAGTTTGTTTAATATGTTTGTAAAACTCAGGGTTTCTTGCAGAGGAAGAATGCACAAGAAAGCACGAGCGTAGCTGATGTGATCGGCTTGCATTGCCAATGCAGGGCAAGGACGTCCCTTTATATAGTCACTGCTGTGTATGCGTCAGCACTACGATACAGTAAAGTCCCCGGCGTTAGGCTTACGCTTATAACTTACAAGTGCAGGAGCATTTCTGCAACCCTGCTATAGGACTGCCCACAAAAGCAGCATGCAACCCCCGCAACTACTACTACGACGACTGCGACGACTAACCAAAGACTCCACAAAACCAAAGCAACTGGATTGCAAACACTGCGCATCAATTGTTCAAGACAACACTCCAGCTCTAAAATCACGAACAGCCAATTTCCCGACTGTCTCTGTCACCTCAGCAGAGTTGGATCCATTTCCAAGAAGGATAACGGAAACCACCTGCCACATTTGTGCCCTTGTCTTCAATCACCTATGTATGTGCAAACATCTGGAAACCATCTTTGAATTTGTGTACCATGCACCCTTCTCAACGTGAAAAATTTATAAGTCCCCGCCTGAATGATGATGAAGAAGTACAACAGGACATAACCCCAGGTTACACCAAGGCCTTAGTAAAATCCTCATCCCCCCAGAAATGCGTTAATTGAAATCGGCGATCTTCCCCACAACCACTTGCACAATTGCCCTAACCGCGGAGAGGCCACAAGTGCCACAGTGTTCAACAGCAGCAGTTTGAGGGGCAAAATCAAAGGCTCGACCGACGGCAAAACACAGAGTGAGGAACTGCAAAACACAGACCGAAGGCTCAGTGATTCAGCCTTTCACAACAAATGTTATATAAATTGATCATCGCTATTCAATCTGAGGATTCCACTGTCGGCTGGCGAAAAGAATCTGCACATGTTGAACGAAAACACCGTGTTACTCGATGGCCTTCTTTGGTGATCGATTCACTGACCCACATTAAAAAAAATCCAAGTTGGGCATCGCATAAAGCAGAATGCTACAACGTTCAAACATAAGTGGGCCCCTGACATATCACCAAGGCCACCAGCTACGGTGATACCTCACACAATAGTTCCGGACAGCAAGGAACAAGAGAACCCTTTTGTTGGAACCGAGTGGTAGCATGATGTGGTATGTTGTGCACAAGCAAGGACAAGCTTTTGATTTGATCTATGGGTGGTCTCAAAAGGTGGGCGCAAGTGACCAGAGTCTGCGTTTTTCCCAGGAACGTTGCGAAGGGTTCTTCTGTAGAAAGGGTTGGCGTGACGATCTGCATCTATACATTTGAGACTGATAGCTGCATGTGTAGGTATGCTACAAGACATCCGCAGTTTCCAGGTGTGTTTTCTGCAGCTACTACTCCGGAGGTGGCATTACTACAGTTGCTGCTAGTACTGCTGTATTACGTTGGTCGTGCTAGAACTGATTGGTGCTGGGATGTTGCTTCAATGAAATGGTGGGGATCTTGCTTGAGTGCACATACCTGCAAAATATAGCTGATAGACTTGCTAGTAGTGCACTGGAATTGCTTTGGTGTTGGGATGTTGCTTCAGTTCGCTGGGATCTGGCCGGAGTAAACACATCTGTAACTTTCGCTGGGATCTTGTTTCAGCCTGCAGAATATCTTATCAATCTTTCACTGGGGTCTTGCTTCAGTAAATATGATATGCCAAATCAAAAATACGCTAACATTAAAAAAACATAATTATCTGAGTTCGCACATGCGTGACACATCTCGGCTCTTTATACTTTCTGCTCAAGAGTGAGGCGAAGTGCGAACTCGTGGTGCGCTGGATGAACCCTTTGCGGAGATCGCACGTGTCGAGTGCTCAAAGGTGAGGTGAAATGCAAATGCGAATGTGGGGTGTGCGCGGTGAACCCTTTGCGATCGTAAATGGCGGCGCAAGCTGGAAAAGTTTCCGGCTGGTAGCTGTCGTCGAAATGGAAGGTGGATGTTGCCAAAGTGTGTAACTGTCGTCGAAACGAAGGTGGGTGTTGCCACAGTGTAGAACTGCCGTCGAACAGGGATCTGTATAATGTAAGTCATCATCCCCTGTGGAGTTAATTACCGGTGTACCTTGAGATTTGATTTTATAATTACCTGAGAAGGGGGGGAACGAAAGCCAGCAGCCGCCAGACGAGAGGGTCAAAAGAAGAAACCATCTAAGTAACACATGCTTACTAGGACGATGGCAGGCACTGTATGCTTCAACATGAGTGTCACCAAGCGTCATCCTAAAATATTGCATAGATCCGTGGCTATAACAAGTCCTTAAATCTCTTCACCCCACGAAGTTGCTATCTACACGGGCCCCTTTTCTGATAGCAACTTGTCGCTGCCAACCAACTACTATACTTGCTCCAAAACATCCAACCAGACTTCTCTGAAAGGATGACTAGGAGGATGGCAGGAACTATATGCCTCAGCATTGGTGTCACCAACCGTCATCCAAAAATATTCCACAGATCTGTGACTATAACCCATCCTCAAACAGCAATCTCTTCACACCACCAAGTTGCTATTCACACGAGCCCCTTTTCTGATAGGCACTCGTCGCTGCCAACCAACGACCATATTGGCCCCAATACATCAGACTTCTCAAGTATAGTAGAGACTAGGATGGTTGCTCTGTACATGGGCGCCTGTCTCCACTCCAGTGCTCAATGCCCATTGTCCAAATAGCCTCCACAGCCCTTCGTGATGCTAATGATGCACTACTCGGCGTCCATTGCATCACTGGCATCACCAGACCCCATTTTCACTGCTTTTCTGACCCTCGCTTTGGAGCGCTCTCCCCAGGCAAGCTCCGGGTTCACCCTCTCAAATGGTGCCTTTTCGCCTCCTACCCCCCCCACACCCCCTTAACTCACTGCGTTCGGTCTAAAAGCTCAAGCCTAGCCTATCGGCTGGCTTTCGTAATAAAACGAAAAACTAGGCACCGAGGGCAATTTGCCCCGCTATAGAATCAAATATCAACCTCCTGCAGCGCTGGAAACTTGTTCTTTGGAATCAAATGCCTCAGGGTATGGGCGCTCATCATCGTGAAAAACTGACAGCAAAAAATAAAAAACAATGATGCATAGCCTGCATAGCCAAGGTTGGTTTTGATTCTATAAAGAAGTGTGGGAACATATGAAGGTTGAAATTGATTTTGTAAAAATATTTGACTGATGTGGCCCAAGAGGTTGGGTTTGAATTTACAGACCTGTGATGACGTGTGGGGACATATGAAGGTTTAAAATGATTTTTCATTTTAAAATATGTTGGATGAAAGTGGCCCAAGAGGTTGCTTTTGATGTTATAGACCTGACCTCGCAGCACACCATCCACTCTAAAATCAGTTCTCTCTACCTTCTATTTCTCATAAAGCTTTCAATAAAATGAAATATCAACCCACCTGACCTCACAACACACCATCACCTTCTACTACTCCACATACTTTCTATAGAATCAACTGTTAGGACCTCCATTAAATCTGGCAACGCGGCGCGCCCTCTCTATGGAATCAAATGTTTGCATCCATTTTGAAAGAACAAAATGGACTTTTTTGGACCCCATCTTCGCGGCTTTTCAGATAGAAAATTGTCTACAAAATGTGAGGGTCATTTTTGAGCTCTGGCTCCCAAATTCTAAGAAGGATATTCGGCAGAGAATAAATCATCCCTGTTGCTACCGACGATAGAAGCTCACCTCGTCATTTTATCCAGAAACTGGGCAAAGGGAAAAAAAAACAACTTTCTCACAATGCTATTTAAAACAATTGGCCAATTTGACAAGTTTGCAAATCTGTCGGCGCCAGCCATTTTAAGATCCATTTTATAGAACACCCTTAAACCAAATGTCAATAAAAATGGCTTTCCGTGGTTGACCACCTCATTTTGGATAGCCGGTAGCAACGGGGGTTATAAATCTAGTGCAGGCAGCAGCTTCTGGGAGCTTGTTTCAGACTTACAAATTTAGTACGGGCACTCAAAACTGGTAGCTTTTTGGTGCGTGTGCTGGGAGCGGGAGGCTAAGTGTGTTTGCGTGGTTCCGCGCCATTGGGCACGAGGCGTGCGTGTGTAAACGCGGCTTGGTCTACCTAGGCTTTTCAATGAGGTTTGGCTTCATTGGTTTCTGGCCTTTCCATGTGCTTCCCCCTTTCACCTTTGTCCCCTTTACACACACCCTTGTCCTCTTTCGTTTCATGTCTTTCTGTCTTCATGTCTTGGCGCCTCATCCCTTTTCTCTCTCGCGCACACATCTGTCCGACCCTTTGCGCACGCGCGCACTTGCACTTGAAAACAGGTTTGAGGTCGCCCTGTTATTTACAAGGAGGTTGGGTTCATCGGTTGTCCCTGGTCACTTGGCTTCCTTTCATTGCAACCTCACACACCCGGTCTGTCTTGCCCTCCTTTCATGTCCTCATCCGTTTGTCTGCTTTGCGCGCACACACGCACATTAGTCCACATCTTAGTTCTTCCGCGCCTCCCCTTGTGGGAGTTGTGTGTCTGTGAAGCCCTTGGAATCACAGGGAATCCGTTGATTTGTTACCTTTCCCTGTTTAGCTTTGGCTTAGAAGGGGCACTGAGCACTCCTTGGCAAACTCAGTGCAACGAAGCTATGCCTTGGAGTGGGAAGCACAGATCGATCACCCGTGTGTACCTGCAGTTTTACTTGAGCATTTCCTACTCGGTCCCGTCGTACCTAGAACAAAATGCCCAGCCATTGCATCTGTTCCATCACTGCAGTCACGCACTTCGCTTTTGAGCTTTGGAGGCTTTTGGAGGCTTTATGGTCAGAACGCCTTACATATATTGACTCTACTCACTTTGGTTTCTTAGGTTTTTTACTTAGGCTGGCGTGTGGCAAACCGCAAACGTGTCAGTACGCATTTCTTGAGTGTGTGTGTGTGTGTAACCCTTGGAATCATAGGGATCCTTTCGGATTTTTGGTGTTTTGAGCTTTTTAGCAGCGGGCCAGCGGCCGACAAGCAAACGCTGGCTAACAAAGCTATGCTTGTCGGTGGATGCACACAGTCTGATCAACTGTGTGTACCTGCAATTTTCCTTTTCCGAATGGCAAGAGGCTGAGCCGAGAACCTCGATACTCAGATGTCTTGTCTTTTTCTTTGCACTACAGATGCGAGCGGAACGTCGTCAGCCCGTTCGTTCGTCGTTCGGCTCCTTCCTCTTTGGGCCACTTCTCCGTTTGAAGACCCCCAGGTTTCGCTGATTCCCTACCTGTACCCTTAGGAATTGGAACCCTAGGCCGGCGTGTGGCGCCGCTTTCAGTTCAGTACACCCTATCCTAAGTGTGTTTGGCCTCGTGCCAACCCGGGATGAGCCCGCAGAGCGCCTCCCGTGGACCCGTTGAACGGGGGTACGTCGAACGTATCCACTGCCCGGATACAGAGCAGCTCGCAGCGAGCGTAGGTGGCCTAGGCCGTACGTACGATGATTTTTGTCTCATCTTTGGAATTTCAAGTTGGCTCATGCCTTTACGTGACCGCAGCGGTCAAAGCAGCCAGCCATTTGGCAAGGCACAAGGTGACCACAGCGGTCAAAGCGAGTTAAAGGTTCATTGGAACCTGTGGAGAACTTAGCTCCCCTCTCCCCCTGCCCTCCCCCTTTCTCTTTTTGCTTTCTGGGTTTTCCTGAATGTAATACTCAGGATCTCCCCTTTCCTTCTTTGGTGTGTCCCTGGACGATTGTTCGTAGCTGGGAACACCTTCCTTTCCTCTCCCTTTCTCTCCCTCTCTCTTTCTTTCCTTCTCTCTTCACCCTCTTCCCTGGGTGTTCTTGGATGCTTCGTCATAGCTGGGAGCCCTTCTTTTTGGTGTGTCCCTGGACGCATGTGTCGTAGCTGGGAGCACCTTTGTCTCCTTCTTTCTTTCCCTCTCTTTTCTTCCTCCCCCTGCCCCCTCTTTCCTCGCGCGCGGCGTGTTTACAAGCAAACTAGGCTTCTGCAACAGGTTTGTCTAATGAGGTTTGGTTTGTCATCGGTTTGTCCCCGTTCATTTGGTTCCCCTTTCATCGGCCCCCACAGACGGTTTTTTCCTCTTTTCTTTCATGTCTTTCTGTCTTCATGTCTCTTCATCCTCATCCTTTCTTTCTCTTGCGCGCACTATCGTCCGGACCTTAGTTTGTACACATACACGCACGCGTACTTTACTTACAGCGAGGTTCAGGTGGCCCAGGTTCGTTACAATGAGGTTTGGCTCATCGGTTGTCCCTCTTCACTTGGTTCCTTTTCATCGGCAACCACACACACCTTTGTCTGTCTTGTCCTTCTCATTTTCATCTGTCCCTTTTGCGTGCACATGTGCCTACCTCCTTTCCGGGCAGGATGGAGGTCACACATGCCTCCCTTCGGGGAGGCGTGTGTGTGTAACCCTTGGAATCATAGGGATCCTTTCGGATTTTTGGTGTTTTGAGCTTTTTAGCAGGGGGCCAGCGGCCGACAAGCAAACGCTGGCTAACAAAGCTATGCTTGTCGGTGGATGCACAGTCTGATCAACCGTGTGTACCTGCAATTTTCCTTTTCCGAATGGCAAGAGGCTAAGCCGAGAACCTCGATACTCAGATGTCTTGTCTTTTTCTTTGCACTACAGATGCGAGCGGAACGTCGTCAGCCCGTTCGTTCGTCGTTCGGCTCCTTCCTCTTTGGGCCACTTCTCCGTTTGAAGACCCCCAGGTTTCGCTGATTCCCTACCTGTACCCTTAGGAATTGGAACCCTAGGCCGGCGTGTGGCACCGCTTTCAGTTCAGTACACCCTATCCTAAGTGTGTAAACGCGGCGTGTCGCTGGCAAGCGAGATGATTGGCAGTGTCCACAAGGCTTGGTGTACTCGCTGTGCGCTGAAAAGCACTTTCTTGATCCAGTGCACTTCGTGTCTACATCCTTTCCATTGAGAACACCCGACTTCGTTCGCAGTGTTTACAAGGGTGCTACCATGATACATCCTCAAATCATTCCGTGTCTAAACAAGCCGGGAAAGCTATCAAACGCAAGGATTGCTGTTGGCCAGTACAGAATAACCTGAGGCAAGGTTCAACACACCACTATGTACATCTTTTCCTTGGCAAGAGAATCTGAAGGAAAGCACAAAAAGTCGTGTACGTCTGCAACTGATGTGTGTCAAGGAGTTCAATATGTATAAGCGAAACAATCAAGATCAGATCCACGTCATCCAAGGCAGCAACTCCCACAAGCATCAGGACACAACCAATGAGGTCCTTGCTACAACTACAATGACACGACTCGGCACCTACACCACTTCATCATTCATGACCGAGGAGTGGTTCTACAACCGAAAACTTTGTGACCCGAAGTCCCAAAGTCTTTCCATCACTGTAGCTCTTACGTTCCTACCTACACATGTGGAAGTAATGTAACTTGGTGAAGGTTTCACTGAGCAGCTTGATTTGCAGTACAATCTTCACACGACTTCGTGACATTGTCAGGTCAAGCCAACGATAATCGAATCACGCATCCTACTGAATTTCTGCCAGCGTTGGCAACCTCCAATTCCTGCAAGATTGATCAAAACAAGTCTTAAAGACAGGTGGACTGGTTAAAGGTTGCAACTGAGGGGCCAGGAAGAATGCTGTCTCGCGGTACCTAAACAACTCAAAGCCAAGACGAACACTCGAAAAACAATACAAATACAAAACATATAAATGTCACTAAGTCTAGAGTCTAGGGTTCTTGCTGCTTCTTGGGCTTTTTCATATACTCTTGCACGAGAAATAAGCTCACACCCTGCGGATCAAGCGTGGAAAGAAAACAAACCTTAAGCGTCACGACCTTCCTGCATGATCATGTTGGCGACTGTAAAGAGAATCAGAATAATGCCCATCAAATATGCCTGACATGGGGCTTGACAACACTCAGCCGGGGCTTGATAGTCATTGTACAGAGCAAGATGGAACATTCTAGATTGAAGTTTCTGATCTACTTTCTCCATCTGAACAACTAACTATGCTGCAGTGCTCTGCATGCTGGGCTTGGTGCACAGGTCATTGCAGTGCAGCCTCCTGTAACCGCGTTTTTGAACGCGGCCGTGCACCACCTCAAAACACGTTGTCTCTATTCATCAGGCAGTCTTGTACCTCAAACCTGAAAATCCTCAGCCCAATACGTGCTTGAGGCGTCCTGCAGAAGTCGCGGCTTTGACAGTTGGCCATAAAAATGATGGTTGCACACTGTTGGCACCGATCCTGTAGCATTACAGAGGTAGAGGCTGATTCGCCGTCTTTGTCTTTTGCACAAAGATCCTTTTTGGTGCCGAAGGCTTGTACCTCAACCACTCTGAAAAACTGATTCTTGTACTCACGCGAGGCTTCAGTGTCTGCCTTTCGTTTGTTCTACACTTTGCAATCGCTTTGTCAGATCACTTTGTATATATTTTTTTGAGGTCCGAGCCAACTTGCACGCCTTGGTGCCAATCCGGCTGGAAGCACAAACAGTTCACTGAAACACTGCGGTCCAATCCTCATGGCCTTCAGTGATTCAGAATATAATATAGCATCCAAAACAGGTTGGTGTGTGATGGCTTGTGTCAGTACCATGCTCCAGCAAATTGCTCCTTTTCGTTCTGGATTGCCACCCATCAAGTCAGAGCCGCTGCTAACCATTCGTGTTGCATCATGCAGCATGCAGCATGCCCAAGTACCAAACACAAGGCAAATTCAGCATTCAGTAGCGTGTCGTTGAAACTCTGCCATTGAATGGTGCGTAGCGGCAAGCCCTTCGGACACAAAAAGTCAGCACTGGGAGGCCCTGGCTCTCGTCCATTTCCAGTCGTAGTGGACTGTCATGCTGTAAACGTTCATATGCACGGCACTTGGACGGAAGGCAGAAGCAAGATGTCAAAATATGTCAGAGTCAGATGCATCAGATGGAAACAAATTATGTTCAGTTGCAAGGATCTGACGTCCTATTATAGGTTTTGTCTCGCACAACACAAGAAGCTTTCAATTTGCTCAGGTGCAGGCTCGAACAGATTCCCAATTTTCCAATAAACCTTTCTTCCAGCAGCGCAAGAGCTACGCTAGCAATATGTATTTTTCCAGAATGCAACGTTTTGCAGAACGATGCTTACTTCTGACCATTCAAGAATAAGATATGTCTTCCAGCCTTGTGCAACGGGAGGAAGAGGCAAATGGCATAGCCCAAAGTCTGCCAGCACCCAATTAGAATGCTAACTTTATCGCTTGGAAATTTCAGAAAATGGACCAAGAATCGCGCAGCAAATATGCCCACAGCAGATCCAATGATCAGAAGCTTCTTCCCCATCAGGCGCAATTGCAAACCTGACTTGAAAGCAAAAGCACAATTCAATTGAATTCAACCTAAGTCCCACACAAATACTGCCATGAGTTGGCTTTTTTGCTCCAAAATGGCTTTTTCGATTTGGAATTCAACAAATTGACATCTGCGCTGCTTCAGCCTGACCTGAACCAAAATCTACCCTTTGAACAGCTCAGGGCCCCAAGATCTTTTAACCTGGATTGCATGAAGAATGCCGATCAGGATCGGCACCCTGGTATGGCAAAGCGCCCTCAAAACTGAGACTCTAGAGACTCTGGGTCTCAGCGTCAAATTTGTGTTTGCATCCCTGTTCTGTACACGCGGCGGCGCCTAAAATTGGGTGATGCATTCTCAAAGCTGTACATTGCAAAAAGGCATACACAACCTCTTCCAACTCTGCAAATATTCGTCTTGGTGCAAGATGTGGCGGATCAACTCCATCAGTATGACTGGAATTCACCTCTCATGTCAATCCAGCCTTCTGCAGCATCAGCATCCTTCTCCGGGTAGTCGTACTCCTCTTCAATAACTTCAATGCCGTCTGACGGTGGCAAAGGTACCTCACACAAACAAATCAAAGCTTACAAACGATTTGTTACCAGAAACATCAGCAAAGCTGTCCATGGAAAGCATCTTTCAAGCAAACAGTCCATTCTTGGACTGAAGGTACCTCTGGCACAGCTGTGGGCTTGGCCTCCAACTTCAAATGTGGCTTTGGCTGCGGGATATCCTGGGCTCTGAAGGACTTCCTTTCTCGCATTGGCCACTGTGGCACTGTGATATCCAGGCCATACCCTGTCTGCCGCATCGTCGCCCTTGAAATATCACCAAATGGCACTCTCGCAGATGCTTCCAAGATCTCAAACCGACTGTCCTCAGCAACAAAAACAATCATGCGCACTAGGTGTGTTGAAGTATGACCTGGGACCTGGAGATGCATTGTCTGGCAACAAGAGGATTGTATACAATGTCTATATTGCTTGTGTATACAAATATATGCTTGCTTTGTACATTTGTATATGATAATACATACAACTTGCTTCCTTGCTGATGAACGGACATCAAAGTGAATAGCACTTGTCCCTCCCGTTCAGATGCGTGCGGAGGAGTTTGCCAAAAGTCTCAAAGCAAAGACAAACTGCTGGGTCAGAGCCATGTCTCACGACTGAGCTTGGCATTCCGCGGGAGGCATTCGTGAGCCCATGCATGTCCACGCTTCGGAACCTTGCACACAGACTGACTGCCAAAAATTTGAACGTTCAACATGCCAACATCTTTCCTTCAACTAAGGCCTCTTAGACCTCGCCCTTCTGGAGCTCTCCACTACAATCTTGAGACCTTCTGCCATGAAACTGTTAAAGAACAACAAGGACGAATGCGCAAGACTCCGAGAAATTGTGGAAGCTGTTCTCCGAAGAAATAGAAAAAAAATACGATAAACTAACAGTATCAACTGTGTATTTGATGCACACCACGCACTAGTTGCATACAGTCTGTGAGCCATGTCCAACAAATCAACCGTCCAAGCTGGCATGTCCAAACATGTTCGATTGAACCGGCCTGCCGGAACCCCAGGATATCTATGGTTTGGCCATCGGATGAAAGCTGAGCTCGTTGGTCACTTGGTCGAACGCCTGGGAGAGAAGCGTACATCTTGTAGCCTGCAAATGGACGTGTGCATCACAAATGGGGAAAATTGGATTTCAACTTCAACCATTCCCTGCACAGCTGGATCCCATTCCTCCAGGAACTTTGACCCATTCGCTCAGCTCGATCGGTCGATAAGTTGGACAGGGTGGCAAGTGCGGCTCCTGACAAGCACCAAACTCAAAGAAATGATTCATCAATCTGCACAATGGCTGCAGTCTTGAGTAAGACTCCTCAAAGGCATAAATGTTGTGGTGATCATAGATTCCGCTATGTCCAAACGGGTCAAAGGCAGAAGAGGCACCGAACCTGAACTCTCTCAGATCACTGCCTTCTGCAAGTTTCTAGGTCAAGTTTCTAGGTGCCTGCCAGGTCCCCTGCCTCTGTCCTGGAAAAGCGAATTGGCTGAATGCATCTGCCAGCGTCGCCAGGAGCACAAGGAAGATTCCGGCGTTGGCCATGATTCGGGTCAGGTGGAGCTGAGGTTCTTGAGTTCTTGAGCTTGAGAAGCTGCAGGGTTCATGCCACAAGCATTGGAGGATGAAACTACAACTGATGACATCATCTTTGCTCTAGGCACCTGCTATCAAAGGCACTTGAGCGCTTCAAGCACCCTGGTGTTGAATCTCAAGGGAGGACTACGCGTTCAATGGGTTACAACTCTCCCTAATCACTCAATGAAAAGGTCGTTCACCCCAGTAAACTTACCATATAGTAAACAGGTTTTTCTCTGGAATCTGGTAAGTAACTCTGCTCAAGCTATGAGCTGACCTAGCCAAGCGTTCAGTGATGTAACCTCCAGGGCCAGCAAGAGGACCTTGGCACGGGGAAGAGGCATGGAGTTTCTTTGCTTAAATATTGAAAGTCCGCTGGAAAAGTTGTGTGTCTAGTAGAATACACACTACGCGCAGCCAGCTAGAATGCCTTCCTGCTCTCAACAGCTGGCACGCATCCATACAAGTTGTACTTTCCGTCCATTCAAGAGAGCTTGCCAAGTGAAGAGGCTCACAAGCAAGTTTGGTAAAGTCCAGGTGTTCAAATAGATGGAGTGCGTCGGCACAGGGGGCCGCTAAATCATGCTAAATCTGTGGTCCCAGTTGACCCAGTTGACCCCATTGACCCCAGTTGACCCAGTTGACCCCGGTTGACCCAGGGTCAACTGGGTCCGGAGATTTAGCTTGACCACTGTGTCAACTGGGTCCACGACCACGACCACGACGACGACGACGACGACGACGACGACGACGACGACGACCACTTCTACTACTTGGACTCCTACTACTACTACTACTACTACCACTACTACTACGACGACGACTACCACCACTACTACCACTACTACCACTACTACTACCACTACTACCACTACCAGTACCACTACTACTACGACCACACCTACCACTACAACTACTCCGACTTCTACTACTGGGTCAACGGGGTCAGCTGGGTTCAACTGGGGTCAACTGGGTCAACTGGGCTCAACTGGGGTCGACTGGGTCAACTGGGGTCAACTGGGTCAACTGGGGTCAACTGGGTCAACTGGGGTCAACTGGGTCAACTGGGGTCAACTGGGTCAACTGGGACCATTGGGTCACTGGAGGAAGTGGGTCAACTGTCTCTCCTGGGACCTAGGTATCAATACTTTCTACTACTGCTACTAGTATCTAGCTGTAAAAAGGACAATCTGAGCGGTCCAAATCAAGCTCAACACGAGGCGGCCCGTGTTGAGGTTGATTGCCCAGTTGACCCAGTAGTAGAAGTGTAGTAGTGGTAGAAGAAGTAGTAGTAAAGTAGTAGTAGTAGTCGTCGTGGTGGTGGTGGTGGCGGTGGACCCAGTTGACCCGGTGGCCACGCAAAATCTCCGGACCCAGTTGAGCCAGTTGACCCCAGTTGACCCACTAGTAGAAGTAGTAGTAGTAGTAGTAGCAGTCGTGGTGGTGGTGGTGGCGGTGGACCCAGTTGACCCGGTGGCCACGCTAAATCTCCGGACCCAGTTGACCCAGTTGACCCAGTAGTAGAAGTAGTAGTAGTGGTAGTAGAAGAAGAAGTAGTAGTAGCAGTAGTGGTGGTGGTGGCGGTGGACCCAGTTGACCTGGTGGCCACGCTAAATTCCGGACCCACTTGACCCAGATGACCCCAGTTGACCCAGTTGACCTGAGTTG